AAGCTAGTTCGATGAGCATTTCTTACAAAGATCAGACAGTGAGATTAAACATGTAGTGCTGCTTAGAGCAAAAAGATTTCTGCTTTAGTGATAAGCATAAATATATTCTGTTGCAATCAAAATACTTAGAGAATAGAATGATAAGAAAATAGCCAACTACAGATGAAATATATGGCAGATGTGGGACTTACTGCTCTTCCTTGCACTAAGCCATCTTACTCTTCTCCTGTGCATCCACAAGAGAAAAATTTATATCTAACATGAATAATGTTCTGGAAAATAAACATAAACAAAGTCTGATTCATAGCAGTAACATTACTTAGTTTGTATTGAAAAGGAGAGTAATTATGGTAAATGCTATAAAAGTCCTTGGTGAAGCAATGACCTGAATTTTCTTCATTCCTCTTTTGTAGTATAGCTAGATTAAGAATGATTGGTTTGCTGTGTTCTGTCATCTGATTATAATTTCCTTATTATTAAAGCTACACCTACACTTACAGTAAGTTATAGATTTTACGATGAGGATGTTCCTGCCAACGAAGCTTTCATGGATTCTTAATCTGTCATCCCCAATCCGTGCTAACATACAGACTTTTATAAATCCCAACTAGAGCCAGATGAACACAGATCTGAGCTACGAAGAGGAAACCATTCGTGCATCCCGCTGTGCTGCAAAAAAACTAGCAAAACTAATACTGTAAAACCTTGCTGTTCCATTTCCTAGGTCAGTACTTGCTACTAGCTTAACCATAAGTTCCTGTTATCAGTAAAACCAATTAACACTTAACTAGTCCATAGGAAGTGGAAAATCCTCACTCAGTAGGAGAAATTGAGAATAAAAGGAGCAGTGATGACACAGGGTCTGGACCAGCTGAGAGACACGCCCTTGAGCAGTCTTATTTACAGGTTCTTATGTTATCTTCTGGCTTCTAGAAGTTGTGTGAAACAATCCTAGAGCTGCAGGCAATTCCTTCAGGAAACTTTTGGAGGACGGAAGAATTTTCTTCAGAAGCCTGGAAAAGTGCAAATGTGGTACCTGTCTCTTAAGAAGAAGGTGGAAAAGGAGGTATAGAGAAATCGTAGATCACTAAGCTTCAGTATTTGGAAAAATATTGGAATCAGCCACCAAAGAATCTGTTTGCAAGCACCCAGAAGTAAGCACCGCAGCGGTAAGTAACAATCTGCACAGATTCATCCAAGAATGACTGAAATAGAAGTAATTTGACTTTCTTCTGTGACACACTGACAGTACTGGGGGATGAGGTGTAGGAGGGGGAAACAGGCTTCTTCTCTAAAGAAATTCTCACAAGAAGACAAAGGAAGCATGATCTGTATGAAACTTCTATATGATTAGTGAGTACCCACTGAGATACTAATCAGCCTCTACCATACAGGAAAGATATATTTGGTACAGTTCAGTATCTTTCAGATTCAGCGTCCTCAGTATTTTTATTAATAATTTGGACAATGCAGTAAAGATGATGCTTATCCAACAACTGCAAGGTTATTTGTTAATTAAAATGAATCTTCAAATAATTTTGGGCAAATGTGTTACTCGGTGTGAACTGTTTGCAAACAATTCCCTTGGATTACTCAAGATGTGAAATTTAAATTTGAGAGGAGGCAAAATGATAAAAAAAAAAATCAAGTTTTTGAGAATCAGGCACTCCATTTGAGTACTTGAAATTACCAGTTTAAAGGCTGGATAACATTTTCTTGAAATTAACCATTTTCAGGAGTAATGTTATGCGTAATTTTGTACTAATAAATTCTAAAAAAAAGCATTCAGTGAAATAGAAACCGAGTAAAAGCAGGATCAAAACTCATACCTTTAAGAGACATCACAAGCCATTGTGTGTTTTATACATATGTCAGAAAAAGTGCTGGATTAACAGGTGTTGTTACACACCCTCCCACATGTTTAATGTTCTGATTTTTCCCTCAGCTAAATGGATGCTCTTGGTCACAGGACACACACGCTCACACAACAGCACAACACTCCTCTGACTTGTCCTGCCTACGATAATCCCTCGCACATACGGCACCAATGCATCTCCACCTTTAGTGGAATTTTCTTCTCTCTCATGTCCCATAATCACATGATTTTCTAAGCAGCTGCCACACATTGCTGGCTCAGAGGGACTGACTCAATCTCAGATTGACTAACAAACCAAGGTTTTCTTTTCGTTCTCATGTCTGACAGATAAATCCACTGATAACAATCAGATTTCCTTTTGCTGTTTCCTAAATGTTCACAAAGCTGCGACAGTCCCGTTCATGCAGCTCAGTCCAGTTGTCTGGAAGTGGCAGTCAGATCTGGCCCCTGACCAACAGCGGCTCCCCACAGGTCACACTCACTCCCACAATGGGGGAAACACTGCCAAGGAGTAGTATCTGAATTTGTGCATCCCCCTAGTAACCTCCGTCCAGCCTGTTCATAGTCCTCATCAGCTTTATTGCAAAGATTTCCTCGCCTACTTAACAGTCCTTGTTCTAACCTTGGGTTTTCTAGTGCTGTTTAGTTATTTCTAGTGCACTTTGCTGCCATGCAAGTGCCTTCAATCTTCAGCCTTTCCCTTATCCGAAAAGGCAGACAATTCATCAAAGAAGATTATGGTCTGGCAAGATCTGTCAAAACCTTATTTAGTAGTTTTCCTTAAAACTCTGTACAAAGCTTTGACTCAACTGTTATAAAATTGCTTTAATCACATTTGACACTTTTTTTTTAGGCTAGATTGATAACCTAATAACATACATGCTTCATAACAATTACTGGGTTGAACCTCCTTGTTGAACCTTATGTGCCTCTTCTTTCCATAGTCTGAGCTGGAAATAAACTGTTTTCCCTGATACAAGCATGTTAAGCTCTGAGTGCATTCTGTGTTCAGATATAGTTATTCCCATTATCACTCACTGATTCCTGTAACTCATCCCACTTCTGACCTCCAGCACGATAGCAGCATCTCTGTGAAAAGCAGAGGTATAAGATTTGGCAAAACCCAAGGCCATCTCTGCAGTTAATATTTAGCAGATCTACTTGTTCTCCATTTCTCTCTGTCTCCCTTTTTAAATATTTTATTTTAGCCATGTAAACAAAAAATGTTTCACTACTTGTTTTTTGGTTTCTTTAGCAAAGTTCAGCTCCATTTGGTAGTGCTTATGAGCTACCTGTCACTTTTTGTCCTCCAAAGCAGAGATTTCCCTCTTGATCAAGTTCTTCTTAAAACCTCTTCACTAACTCCTAAAATTTCTTTTGAGCTACTTGGTTGGCTGAGCCAGACTGGAAACTTCAACTATAATTTCTTCTCCTTCATTAGGATTTTTTGTGATTTTTGATTTAAAGACATTATCAAAAAGCACTTTTAAGGCATAATTTGTTAAAGCATGTGTATAATTTTAAGAGCAGTGATAACACTTAGTCCACAGAAATTATACTTTTTTTAAAGAACTGTATTAAGGTGTCATGACTTTCCTAATCTTTGCCAGATTATCTAAGATAATTAGTTAAAATTTAAAGTACTTGAAAACCCAAGACTTAACCAATGCTGAAAGTTAAACACAAGCTAGAAAACGTGCTTACTCAGTTTGCACCTAGATAAAATATCAGTCATCTTAAGCTGACCTTCTAAAAAAACTGCATCGGATGCAAGCACTATATGAAATGAAAATATCCATATAAATGCGGGTGTAGTAAAAGCACATCGGCAAACGCTACTGATGCATAGGGAATCATGGATATGAGAGTAAAATGTCAGCTATCAGTTTGACCTGCCTTAATATGGAACAATAATTTCATAAATTTGTGTGTAGCAAAGGAACTCAACATAAATGTTATGGAAGTTTCAACAGATGTACAGGTTAGCCAGTACACTTGAGAGTTTTTGAAAACATGTTTGAATGGGTCAGTCTCTTCAATGTCTGAATGGGATTATCTTAAAGGATATGGTAGTCAATGGATGCTGACTGCCTGCCATTGAGAATCAAGCTCCTTTATAACAGATCAAGCCACTCAAACTGGAAATAGAAAACTGTGTGCTTGAAATGAGGATTCGCTTTCAGTAACAGCCAAAGACTGATCGACTGTATTGCTCAAAACCAAAAAAGCCCAGAGTTGTGTTTGAAAGTACTTTGTTCTGATATATCAGGGCATTAACTCTGACCCTTACACATTTCCAACCTGTTCTCTCTGTTGTTTTAAGGGAGAAATGACCAACAGCAGCAGGGAATGTGATTTTACAGACATCGACAGATTAGCAAAGACCCTGCAGATGGGGATCTCCATCCCCACCTTCATTCTCGGGCTGGTTCTCAACAGTCTGGCCCTCTCCGTGTTCTGCTGCATTTGGAAGAAACAGACCAAAACCTCAGTTTACATGATAAATCTCGCATTTGCCGATGTCTTGCTGCTTCTCTCGCTCCCGCTCAAGCTCTACTACTCTAACACAGAAGCATCTGGACTCCTGTGCTCATTCATAGAGTCTCTCTATTTCGTCAACACGTACGGCAGTATCTTCATCATTGTCTGCATTACTGTCGACAGATATATCTGCATAAAGCACCCATTTAAAGGTCGAACTAATCAATCCCCCAAATGCGCTATCCTGATTTGCTTCTTCATCTGGGCAGTAACTTGGCTTTGCAGCAGCCCAATGTATGTGTTTCACAAGAAAGATGATTTTAGATGCTTTCACAACATGTCAGAACAGGCGTGGAGCGTCCCCCTCATTGTTTCTCTGGAAATTGTTGGATTTCTGATCCCACTCACAGTGATGGTTTTCTGCTCTGTCCAAAACATCTGGATTCTTCTGAAGCACAGAAGTCAAGCTGAAAAGAACTTAGAAGGCAGTGGCTCCTTACGAGTCATTATCATCAACCTCGTGGTGTTTTTGGTGTGCTTCACACCTGTCCACCTTGCGATCTGCCTACAGTGCCTTGTAAGGCAGCATGTGATTGTGGATTGCAGTCTGAAACAAACCATCAGCCTCTTCATTCAAGTGTCAATGATATTAGCCAACCTGAACTGCTGCCTGGATGCCATCTTTTATTACTTTGCTGCAAAAGAATTTCGTGAAAAAACACACCTGAAAAAGATTGTTGAACTATGTCCTCTCTTTAAGCCTTGTGCCACATGATGGGACAGCCTGCAGTGGAAGAACAGATCTTCCTCGACTCCCACTTGCCTCACAGGACATCGACAGCATTATCCCTGATGTAGCAGTAAGGTCACCTTGGTCACGGCAAGGAGAGTGCAGGAGGGAGAAGGACAATGTTTTTCTAGTGAATGCGAACATGTTCCATATTCTTCTTCCCTTTAAAGATAATAGAAGAAAAATGTTGGAAAAAAGAACAAGCATTAGCAAAGTGACCGAGTGACACCAAAAGAAGCATTACCCTTGACGCTATCTACTAAATGTGAAAGGCTTGCCAGAGGAAAATTACCCAGATCATGGAGTGCCAGTTAAAATCAACCTTTGTCGTTGCACCAGTTTTCCTTTGCCAACATATAACCAGAAAGTTGTTGCTAAGGGCCAAACATAGAAACAACTACTCAAAACCTTCTTTCTAACTTAGAAGGTATCTGAGAGTTAAAAGGCAGTATCAGGCCAAAAGTCTGACTCTGCTCTTTCCTTCTGTAAAGCTTAGAGAATGTCACTGTCAGAGCTCATTTGCTTTGAGCAGCTTGGCCAGACTGGGATAATAGTGAATCCTCCCTCCTGTAAGCATTATACACTGGTCAGAGCTGCTACACAGCACAGAAGCCCCTGCTCTTCCATGGAAGACGGGCAACCGAGTATACAACCCCAATGGAATATCTTGGGTACCAGCAATTCCTTGAGCAACAAACATTTCTGATTATCTTTGCTGAGGAATCAGCATGGTTTTCTCCCACAGTTTTAAAACTGGTTTTGCACATGAAAACCAAAAATAACCCCTTCAAATATGGCATTTAGTGAAAGACTGTATGTGATTAACTGTACTTCTATCAAAGATATGATACATGTATGAAATTCTTCTGCCTCTCTCCTCATTCTTTCTTGGAATACATCACAGAAAAATAATGAGCATGTCTGATACACTCCTCGCTCCCAGCTGTAAGACTGGACCAGCTCTATCCACCTTATTCCTTAGAGAAGTCCTTCTAGCCTGTACTGGACATTTCACAAAACATCTCTGGACATGGCTCAATGTTTCTTGGTCAGCACTTCTGGTATGTCACCACCCTTATGCCATTTGCAAGTTTGGCTCTGAGTCTAAAATAAAAGTTTCTCTGTTGCAATTTAAGCCATCCATTTCTGGTACCGTTATGTTGGCATGGTTCGTGCTCTTAGCCAGAAACACTTTCACATCAAGAAAGCCCTTTCTGTGCCTTTTAAAAACAGCTGTAAAAATGGTCTAAGATTGCTTGTAATCAAGTCCATTCTGGGGCAGATGTTGGCTTTATTCAAAACGTGAAAAGAAATTACCTTCTGTCTGGAGCAAATTAAAAAGAAAGGGGGGCAGTATTTTGAAAATACAATTTGCCATCAATTAATTTCCATAGAAATGATTGATTGTGCAAGTGGGCAGCTTCACATATCTAATACTGGACCTAATATTTTAAAACTTGGTAGTACTAACACTATGATCACAGCTGAGGCACGCAAAGAGCTCAGAGGCAAAGAAAGGTTTTTATCATTACCTTCACCATTATTTGCAGACGGGCAAGAGGAAGTGCTTTCCAAAACAGTAGGTTTTCAAAACATTACTTGCTACTGCCTCGATCATTCAGAAACTTGCAGCCTTTTCAATATGAGTTAACCTTTCTTTTTTGCACCTTTCACATTACTTTGCATATCAAATATACGTGTGAGAAAGAACACAGTCTGCTAAATAAACTGTATATATGAAGTGTATGATTTGAAAATACATTTTCATTCCCCAGTCTGACAGCATATGATTCTTATCTGCCTATTTAATCATAAATTGTTACCATTTTCTCCTTAAAAGAGCTCCAAGACTTAGTTGGAGATTTTCCTTCCCAGGAACTACTTCAGGTTTGTAACTGTGGCAACCAAGAACAACTGAATAAGCAGTAATACATAGAAAAAGTAAAAACAAGATCATCACACCCAGAAGTCAGGATAATTTAATATCTTTTCTGTGGAAATCCTCGCCATAAATTCTTGACAATCCCCAATAAATTCCCTACAATCTTTCCTCCAAAACGCTCTGAGCTCTTGCTTTTATGATTAGCCGACTGTCCTGGTTTTGGCCGGGACAGAGTTAGTTTTCTTCCTAGTAGCGGGTATAGTGCTGTGTTCTGGATTTAAGATGAGAATACTGTTTATAATACACGGATGTTTTGGTGTAAACATTGCCTAGCAACAACCAAGTCAAGGACTTTTCAGCTTCTCATACCGCCCTACCAGCGAGTAGGCTGGGAGTACACAAGAAGTTGGGAGGGGACACGGCCAGGACGGCTGACCCCAACTGACCAAAGAGATATTCCATATCATATGACGTCATGCTGAGTTTATAACTTCAGGAAAGCTGGTCAGGGGTTTAGACCATGGCTCGGGAACTGGCTGGGCATTGGTGGTCTGCAGGGAGTGGGCAATTGTGCTGTGCAGCACTTGTTTTACATGTTCTTTTATCATTATTATCATCTTTTATTACCTTTATTATTATATCATTATTATTATCATTATCATCTTTTATTACCCTTTCTGTCACATTAAACTGTCTTTATCTCAACTCATGAGTTTTACCTTTTTTTTCTCCAATTCTCCTCTCTACTCGGGGGGGGGGGGGGGGGTGAGCAAACGGCAAACGGCTGTGCGGTTGTTTTAGCTGCCTGATGGGTAAAACCACGACACCAACTATCTGAAAATTTACATTACCATCAGTGCAATTTTTTGACTGTGCAAAAGCACAGCGCTTCAAGGTACAAAGTATAACACCAGCCTTTTCATTTAAAGCTTTTCATGCAGATGCAATGGGTGATGATAGGGCGCACACCCTCTGCAAGCCTGTCCACAACACTAAACCAGTTGTATGGCTAAGATGGCAAGGCCTCACTCCAGAGGTCCTATAAACCCCAGGATGAGGGAGAAGAAGCCTTTTGAAGGGCAAAAAAGGAGAAACTTAGCGTACTGTACCCATGGCACTACAACCCTGTGGGCCAGCACAGGCTGGGAAAGCAGGTCTGACGTAGATGTCTTCCCAAAAGGGCACCAGGCTTGATACAAGCCAGTGGTGCCCCCTCTGTGCAAATATGGTAAATTGATACCAGGATTCACTAAAAATGGGGTCAAGAAAGAATGAACGAACGAACCGAACCTGACGAGGCTTCACTGGAATAGGATGTTCAGCTCTAGGCCTCACAGTTCAAGAGAAATAGGGAGAAGCCAGAGAGGTTCAAGCAGATGGTTTGCAGGATGGTTGGGGATCTTGGGCACAGGTCTGCAAGGAAAGGCTGAGGGAGCTGAACTGGTTTCATCCAGCATGCTGGAAGGTAGTGATAGAGATGAAGGAGCCAACCACTGCCCAGTAGTTCCCAACAATATAACAAGGAGTAATGGCCCTTGGTTCAGGTTTAATATTGCAAAAACTGCTTCACTAGGAGGGCAATGCAGCACTGGAAGGAGTTACCCAGGAAAACTTTGTGATATCCTCTCACAGAGGTTTCCAAGACATAGCCAAAGTCATGGCTGATCTGACCTAGTGTTGGAGAAGGAAACTGGCTCCAGAGGTCCCTTTCTACTGCTCCATAATTCTCAGCAAATGCAAGTTTGTGTATTTTTTTCCTCCTCTGAGGCAAAAAGCCACCTCTTAGTGCTGCTGATGTTATAGCACTGGTTGTCAATAGCTCTATTGCAAGCACAGCGCAAGACTGAGGAAATACGCTAGCTGCCTAAAAATTACTAGGCAGCAGCAACTGCGAGCCATCACACAAGGCTATGATAATTAAAGACAGGACTAATGAAGCACTACCTTTGTCTTCAACTCATTTATCACTAAGTACTTGGAAAAGATAATTTTCTAACCTTCAAAAGAATAAGTGCACATATGCAGTAGGCAGAGAGGAAAAGTGTTTAGGGACTCTCGTACGTGTGGGTGGGGGAGAGCTAGGGAGATGGCATTCGCTCAGTGGTAGAGTTCCAGCACACTCAGGCAGGGAGAAACTTCCACTTACAGAAAGAAATTGATGTAATTTTTTTCAAAGAAGGAAAAAAAAAGTGAGTTTATGAAAAATTAGCTGTCATATTGGGGAGTAGTGGGACTCTCTACGTACGACTGTTCTGCAGACTCAGTCTGCTCATGTCATACATGACAGCAAACTTGGAGAACAGAATCTGAAAGTTAAATTGGACTACTTTCTTCCCATTTATTACCAACAGTGCCACTTCTTTGTTGGCCAAAAGTTATTTTATATATAACTCCATTTGTCTAAATTTTGCCTGTTATATATTTAAATGAGAGCACCCTGTCTAAGCATATTTGAAATTTCTGAAAAAAAGAGAAAGAAGGAAGAGAGCCCAGCTGTGTCTGTTTTACAGGGCTACTACAATAGTCAAATTTTTTATCACAAAAAGAGCAGATCTTTTGAGCAAGGTGTCACTTTCAATTCACTGCTTTTCAAGATGAACTTAAATTTAAATAATACACTTAAATTCTGTCCTTGACCTGCAGCTAAGATTACAGTTCTTTCTAAATCAGAATTTTACATACAGGCTCCTCTACAAAATTTACTGTTAACTCTAGAGAATCTCCAGCTGGTTGTATTCTTATAGCAGGACAAAAGCAACGATAAACCTCACACAGCTGGAGAAGGTGCACAAGAATTTTGTTGAAGAATAAAGCTGAAAAGTATTTTATATTTTATAACCAACAACAAAAGCCTTCCTGAGTCAATACACAAGTTCACAATTTCTATGTTCAGACTGCACAACAGAAGAGGTTTCTTCTGTCTTGATGTTATTCTTAATACAAAGAAAAATGGTAGGAACCTGAACACGAACACCTCACACACCCAGATCTCCTCCCAGGGTCATAGTTGTACTGTAAAGTCAAAGAAGCATTGTCCTAGTGCGGAAAAAATTAAATAAATCAAGTGCTAACCAAAACTACCCAAAATAATCCCTTTAAAAAT